CCGTCAGATTATGACACCCCCATGGCTGAAAGGGCGAGCATATTCGGTGTGATGGGGATTCGAACCCACAACCCTCAGATTGCGAGTCGAGCACCCTAACCACCTGGCCATGCTGGGCCTTTTAGTAATGATTAACAGCATAAATGATCATAACTTCTCTTTCATAACCTTTCTTTTCTACTTTTTTTTCTATTTTACAACTTCCTCTTAAACATTCTACAATAGTAGTTAGTGCTTTTCAAAAATAACATTGCAATTCATTGTTCTCAACTATAACAGTTTCAAAGAAAAAAACTTTTTCAGTCTGTTAACTCTGTATTTAATCATTCACTTGCTACTAGTAAACAGACCTGCATTACTTCCACATGAGTATTAAATTCCACAAACAAACATTACCTTTTCTTTACATTTTTTTCTGGGTTCTCTATAAGTACTTTATCTCCTCATTCAGGATGACTGAGCTTGTACTTTTATTAATGGAATTTCAAAAAGACCTGCATTACTTCCGCATGAGGATTAAAGTCCACAAACAAACATTACCTTTTCTTTACATTTTTTTCTGGGTTCTCTATAAGTACTTTATCTCCTCATTCAGGATGACTGAGCTTGTACTTTTATTAATGGAATTTCAAAATCTCTATTCGATGATGAGATTATATTACTGAAACATCACCAAGTATTTGGAAAAGGGAACTAATAACAAATGTATATACAAAGCTTCATGAACACCTAGTATAAACTTGAAGTTGCAGTAATTCACAACCATATTTTTAAGAACAACTATTAAAACTATACATCTTACAATTCCTTCTCATTATTTCAGATAAAAATACCTTCTTATAAAAATTAAACTTAATGAACAGGATATTTTATATTTTCTACCATTTGTCACTTGCAGCAAATAAAAAGAAAATAAAAAAAAGATTTGGAAAATTTTTTAGAGAATTTTAAGATATCTTTTACAGTGGAACCAACACTTTGATGACAAGTAAGTGTTCAGTATGGAAGATAATATCCAAAATTCACCTCTAGAATTCCTTAATTTGTGAGATACTTCAAATACCCTTTCCCTTGCCTGTAGCTTAATATTTCTGCTATTTCTAAAAACTGAGACTTCATTTCACTGTTTTAATGACTCTTACTTGTATTCTCTCTCATCTTGTGTCAAAATGATCTTTATAATACTGTGTACAAAATTCTAAAATTAAAATATTACACTTGGCTTCCTTAAATACAAAACATATTGTTTCACAAAACAATGGTAAATACTTTGCAAAATGTTTAACCTTGTAACTTTCACAGAATGAGCATGTAAGTAAAACCCAAATGTTATAAAGCTGACCTCATGTTTAACATTACTTTAATAGCAGAATGAAAACAATTCAATTAGATGAACATTTTAAAGATGCAAGAAAGAAATTAAAAGTTAGTTTATAAAACACCCTGTGATTACATGTTTATGTTATCATATCATTAAAATAACTTCTGAGTAAACATATGGCAGTTAAGAACTCTTAGAGATCATCATCTCCAATCCCTTCAAACACATCATTTTCCATTAAGGATTCAGGAGACAAGCTACCACTGCTGGTGCGACCGGACGGCTTAACAGAATACGAGGAAAATTTCTCCTAAAAATGGGATTTTAGAATTGTAAATGATGTCAAAAATGTTCACATAAAACCATTTAATGTATCTGTTCCATAAAATATTAATTAGCTAACTGTTGTATTTAAAACCTTACCTCAAACCCTACTTTGCAAATATGAATTTCTTAACTCCATTTTACAAACAGTTAACTGAATATTGTATGAAAAAGGATAACACAGTATTAGAAGCAAGAAGAGTTATGAAAATGTTACTGACTAATACAGCAAGTAAGCTATAGAAACTTCTTTTATGTTAACAATTACCTCAAGTAAGCTAGTTCGAATTTACTTCAGTGTTATGTATGAGTATTGGATATGTTTTTCTGCCGTGCCATCATGTTTTTGGTTTAGTACATGACTTCCACAAAACAGTTATATTTTAGCTTTAGAATAAGACCTAATACTGGTTTTAATGAATATTAACAGCCATATTTTAGTTTTAGGATGCTGTTTTCTAACACTAACCATATGTAAACTTTAATATGTGTAGCTTTGTGCATATTTAGTTTTTAGTTCCTCTAATCATTTAATATCTGACAAGTTTCAAGTTTCTTACCTTTCTAACATGATCTCTTGATTTGTTTAGTCTTCTGGAATAGTCCTGGGAGAAAGCAAATATATTCATTTTTGTTAAATAATAAAAATACCTAAAAAATATTACATGACACTGTCTCACTTAAAATGAAAAACATCCCTCAAGAACTTGGGAATAATAAAATGAACTGACTTTATAATTACAACTGTTTTCATTTCTTTGTAATTTGACATCTTTTGTGTGTTAAAATCAATTTGAAGCTTGCATACATGTATGTGTTTGTAACTTCACAAGCATGAATAAAAAATCTCTAGTGCTAAATTTATGCAAAAGTCTATAAACTAAATGTAAGTTTAGAAATACAATCAAAATCTGTATCTTATTGCACTTGCTTTGTGGAATATTATGGAAAGTTCAATTTTAGCTTCAAAGCCAAGAACATAAAAGAATGCAAAGAAAGTTGAACAAACATGGTCATCAGTTGGAGCCAAAAACCAATATTCATTTTGTTTTTACAGAGACTACTACCACAAGCAGGGTTATATTTCATCTTACGCTGAAGTCAGTTTCTATTTTCAGACCTATGTAACAAGGGAAGTTAAAGCAAAAAATGCTATTTGAGTTTTAACTGCTAAATTATTATTGGTTTTATTGCATGTTTTAACTTTATTTTGGCTTTTAATAAAAGAAGATAAAATTTTACATTCTTAGATAAAGTGAATTTCAAATGGGTAATTATCTATGAAATATGTGATATAAAATTCTTGATGCAATGCAGAGCATATGTTAACTTAATCAGAATACTCCACTTTTTCAACTTCCACCTCAGGAAAACATACACAAGCTCTGATTTTCTGCCAAAAGCTACATCTTTTTTTGTTCACAGTTGTAATGATATAACACATTCCTCCCAGTTGTAGAGAGATGGGTGGGAATGTATTTCAGATAAAATTACCCATCTGATATTCATTTTATTTCTAACATGTACAACTAAAATTGGGTAGACTTAACTCTGAAATACTAAAAGTCAGAATACCCACAGTAAAATGGAAGAGGGAACCAGAGAAATTCATAAGGAACACTGGTTCCCCAAAAGTAAAGCTCGTAGGCAGGAAAATAACAACATAGACTGCAACAAACAAATTAAAGTGGTTAAGCAGAGTTTGAATATAATACAGAACCAGAATAAAAGTCAATGGACTGGATTCATGTGAGAACAGAGTACAGCAGACTAGCCTGAAGAAGAGTGGACATAAATGAAGACACTCAGAAAGGCATTCTTCTCAGCAGGATACTTCCTCATCAGGGACACCCATAAGATATATATATATATATATACATAAATGGGGGTCAGGCAGTAATGATAGAACCTGTGGAGCTATGCTTATTCTCAAGTATGGTCACAGATGGTGGCATATGAAAACGATTTGTTTACTTGTTTTGAAAGGTTTTCAGAGGAGGAAACCAATAAAAACTAAAGACTGGATATGCTCCTAAGGCTAATGTCCAACTTCATCCTAAACTCAAAAGGCTAGCCAAGTCATGAAAATGGCCTAGCAAGTGAACAACTAGCAGAAGTGAAAAAAACCTAGGCAAACAAGAACAGGCTCAATAACTCAATGACAATGCAATGAGAACACCAAGTAAGAATAAGGAAAATAAATGTTGGAGCTATGAATATACACAGAAAAGGCATCTCATCTTCAAAGTCTTGAACGCTACACAAGAACATACAAATGGAGGTGGGAAAAGGTACCTGCCAAGGCATTATCAGCCACAAGATGGAAGTTTACTTAGATCAAATGCAGAGGTATAAGTAATATGTGAGAATCACGAGTGGATGAATCTATAAATGGAGTCTCATATTATAAAGAGAAACTATTTGTTTTTTTGTGTTGGGTGGTATGGGAATACTTGAATTGCCATATACAACAGAGTTGTAGGCCAAAGTAGTAAAAAAGCAGATAATAGAGAGTAACTCACCTGCTAGGGGACTCCATCTAGTTTAATGAACCACCAATGAAAGCAAATAGAATCCCAAAGCTGAAGAAACAGTAAAATAATGTAAATAAAGTTTCAAAAACCTTTCAGATTCATCCATATTGCAGCCTGCAAGATACCCTCTAAAGTAGCATTTACCAAACTGTGGTACATGTATCCCTGAGGGTGCATGGTGGTCATCAAATGGATATTTGAAATGAATGGCTAAAAAAATATGAAAAACAAAGTAAGATAAAAAAGAAGGGAAAGAGTTTCTAGAGGGAGTAATACTGAATAATATAATGGCCATACACAAATAATAAAGAAGCATTCTCTTTCCCTCAGTTTGAAGTGTGAAATCACCTAGTTAAAATTCTTTCTGTGAAAATGTTTTTACAAGTAGTCTACCTTTTACTTGTTGGTGACTTGCAGCACTTATGTGTGTCATGTATTGTTACAATTGTATTTTACACCCATTCCGTGTGTTTGATGAGTTGATTCCAAAACAAAGCGTGTAAATGTTGAAGACAGTTGAGCTGCTTGTGATATATGGAATCTGAATTGTTCATCAGTGTGCTGAACTTCACACTAGCTTCCAGGCTATGAAAGAGTAAAACCTATACTCTAGTCCAAAATCCCACACAAAACATGATAGTGGCCACACATGTTGGGCAATACAAGAGCTGATTCCTCAGCTTCATAAATCCATTTTCTCTATAGTTTTTACTTTTGAGAGTTCTTTCAATAGACATGACTGATGAAGACTCAACAAAGACTACTTGATCATGAGCATTTATACTATTTTGTTCAAAAAGAACACAGCCTGGCTAACACCCTAAATTCCATAAGCCAAATACTAGTGATGGGGGGTGGGAGTTCTTTTAGCAATAAAATATGTTTTTTTTTAGGTTAAAAGATCAAGCCTAAATTTTTTTTTGGATGTAACTTTAATACTGGAAATCATGACACCCATCTGTTGTCCACTCAGAAATCTTGTTTTATTACTTACTTCCTCATTGTCCACTATTCCTTCAGAAGACGACGACCGACTAACAGAAATCTCGTAACTGCTTCCATCACGCTTCATGTAGCTCCAAGAACAGCGTCGAATTCCTTGTTCAGGCTGCTTCTTAAATTTTATTCCATTTCTCTTAGAAAGTAACTCTTCAACCATACCTTGAAGGCATACACTCATTAATACAGCCTATAGAAATAAAAAAGTTTTGAAGTACTGTCCTAGGCAAATATTATTATACATTATACAACACTTCCCTATATTAATGTAATACTAAAATACAGGATAATGGCCTACACTAATATTATTGTATATTATAGCAGCATACACCATCCTACTTTTTATGTCTTATAAATAATGGAACACTGCCCTATATGCCCGAGATAAAAAGTTATTCAAATAGAACCCTAATCACATGACAATAAATTACAGAAGATGGCCCTATGCCAACAATATATGTTATGTAATGCTACTCTATTAATTAATACTAACTTCCAATCAGAACAAGCTACTTACTTACAATGAAACTAAAATCAAACCTAGTAAAGAATATAGACAATAAAGATTAGAATGTATTGCTTCATCAACTGGTTACCCTCTCTGTTAACCGTTTTAAGATGGGTCGTGGGTCAAAAGCCATGTCATTGCATTTGTTGACTCGCATTCAAAATTTTATTTAACTACTATTTCATGAATTTATATCAATACATTTGGTATGAAACTGTAGATTATAATTCAAATTTTAGTATACCTTACTCAATTTCTTAATTTAAAAGTAAATATTAAAAAAGCATAATTAAACATCAATTTCTGTGTGTCACTGGTTGAAATTAGATGTTTGTGATGTCAAAATACTAAGTCTATAGTTTCATACGAATTACAAACTCAAATTAATGATATTTACAAGCCAGAATATAAAATAAGAAGTTCCTATCTTTTCAATTTGCTAAGATATTGCTCATGTAATGAATAGAACACAGTGGCACCCTGCCCACCTCTTTCCATTTTTGGAAACGCTCCCTTATATACACTTACTTCTATATATGACACGAATAACCAATCAGAAGCTCAGGATGTCCCCAAGTGGCTTTCTCAGCCATTTTAACATGTTTAGATGCCATATGTTTCTTTCGAACCAAGATTTCAAGGTGGTAGGTTGTGTCTTTTGTCTGCTCAAAATTTCATATTTTTTTAGACTTAAAAAAAGCTTAGTTACTAAGCTTGATAAATTATAGTGGAATTCTATG